AGGCACAAGGAAAAGGGAGAGGCAAGCAAGAACAGCAGAGAGAATTCCTTATGTGGGAAGGGAGATTATCAAAGAAGTCAGAAGAAGGCATTCAATTTATGCATTGTATACAGTTTTGTTGTGATGTTGCCTAGTTTGGGCTTGCATTGTGGATCCTTCCACCTACTTACTTTGTCATCAGGGAAGATAAATAAAATAGGATAATAAATACTGGATTGGGAATCAGAAGATCCAATGCCAATCCCAGCTAGATATTAAATTGCTGTCTGACCTCAGTTACCTTTATTGTCTCAGCTTTTATTTTTGAAAATGAGGGCATTAGACTAGATAACTAATGCCTACTCCAGCTACTCAATTCTATAAAATAGCTACTCACATTTTTATTTTCACAAGCTTTTTGTTGGTATTTTTCTTTTAGTACAAGGGGAAAAGTTTAATTTAAAAAACTCACACCCTTATCAAGAAAATCATCTAAGATTGAAGGGTTGATGATGTGTGAAAGACATATGTTTTCAGACTCTTTTACAGGTTAGCCATGTATCTTGGTTTATGAGGAAAATCTATAGAACCTATATATGTACAGAGCAATATCAGTTTTCCTTATAATCATATTTCACTCATTACAAAGCCCCAATATATGTGCCATTAGTCATATAACTATACGAGAGATTTTAGTTCCAGAGTAACTGTTATTATTTTTGAAATTGCACTAAAATTTACAGATATTTTAGACTTTAATATACCTGCTGTCCAAATGCAGAGATTAAACTGATAAATCTCTTCCTATTGTATCTTTTCATTTTTGTGAATTATCAGCAACTGTCAAGCCTCAAAGTTTCATAAAATTATCATTTTACTATCAAAAATAAAGTTACTTTTCTGATACCTTTGCTATTTCTTATATAGAGAATTACTCTAGGAATACTATTTAGGATATCAAATATGCTTTCAACAAAGATGAAGCTACAGTTATATTCAGGGGAAAAGTGGAACTATGATCATTTGGGACAATGTGACATGCTAAGAGATCTGATATCTGACATTGGTGCTTATGGAGAATATCAAAACTCTTCATTTTGAAAAACACATCTTAACTTTTAAATATCTTTATATTGGTAGAGTCTTTATTGCCTAGCATTATTTAATAAATAGGGAAGGAAGGAAGGAAGGAAGGAAGGAAGGAAGGAAGGAAGGAAGGAAGGAAGGAAGGAAGGAAGGAAGGAAGGAAGGAAAACATATGGGTCAGGGTTCATAGTTGAAGAAGACAAGGTAACACCAATTACATTAATCCAAAAGAGATTTATCAAGGCATATGGACAACTCCAAAAATTGTTGGGATTGCAGAGCACAATTGTTTAAAACTTTTAGAAAATCTATTTAGATTTTGGTCCTTAAGTTTTGTCTTTCTCTTTCCTCTCAGTTTTTTAAAAATACTAAGAGAGAGAGAAGAGAGAGAGAGAGAGAGAGAAAGAGAGAGAGAGAGAGAGAGAGAGAGAGAGAGAGAGAGAACTTTCAATTCCTTAACCCACTGGAATAAAATGAAGAATTACTTCTAAGATGGTAAGGCAGTCTTGTTTTAGCACCATTGGATCAGCCACTTTCCTTAATTATTTATATAGAAAATTGGAGATATAATTCTATGTCCCTCACAATTGTTCTTAAAGTATTAGTTTCTGATAACTTATTTCCCCAACTTGATATAGGCGTTCTTTTATATAAGAATGCTTCTTATCAACATATTACTGAAAATCATTTACTTAACATAATTTTTATTTGAATAACAAAAATCAAAAACAAACAAAAATAAAACCCAGAGTTCTTTAATTTCTAGAAAGAAGAGTATGTATCTGAGAAATAAAAAAGAAAAGTGGGTTTCCTTTAAACTGATGCTAGATATTTTCAGGATTCTTGAATTATGCAAGGCAATTAGCACCAAAATCTTGAGGAAACTAGAAAAGACTGGGTTTTTGGGGTACTTTATAATAAAATATCAAACCAGAATGATGGCAACCCAGATGAAGCCATTTGAAATATTTCCCATTCCCTAAAATATTTCTCTTCTTTAATGCAAAGTTAGACCACATTTACTAGTCCCCTTAAATTTAGATGGAAGAAGGTGACAATTTCTCCCCAGTAGAAGGTGAGTGGAAGTGATCTGTTCCAAGTTCAGATTGAAGTAGTTATGCTTTCACTATATTGTCTCTTTTTTGTCTACTGCCTGGATACAAAGACTACAGTAGTGGCCCTGTGAGAACAGCAAAGCTAGTAGGATGGATAAAGCCTGAATCCCTGAAAGACTGAATGGAGCAGAGCTTCTGCTGACTCATACTGGACTGTATAGTGAACAAAAAAGATATCATTATCTTAAACCAATGGGATTTTTAAGATTGATTGTTAAAACTTTTAACTTACTCTGACTGATATACTTCTGTGAACATAGTATGCTTTGGGAGAAAGTAATTAGTATAAAAATGTGCTCTATCTATTAAAACTTCCATAATTCACGTTGGTGTGAAAGAACACTACAAACTCTAAAGCATTTTACAAACATGTTGTTATTATTAACAAAATACTAAAAAATATTAATAGTTACACAGAATTCAGTATTTCTATTGTGTTTGTAATCTGAAATGGAAGTTTGGAAAAGAAATGGGTAGCCAAGGAAAAATCCTCTTAAGTTTGAACTTTTCTGAGAAGTAGTCCATGTTACAGGACTAGAGAAATTTGGCTTTCAACTATTCTAATAGCTACATTTATTAAGAAAAATAATAGATTTAGGAGAAAATGTAAAACATATGACAGAGACAATTTAAAAGATGTAACAAACCTGAATCTTGACCTTGCATTGTTTCTGTTTTTTCCCTTAATGCACTTTTATTTAATTTGGCTTAGATAGTTTGAAGATCATATTACTCTTCAGAGCAGTGTTTTAGAATTCAGCTGGGTCACAGGAACTTTCTCACCACTCCATTCTAATTTGCAGTTTTGCTATAATAAAAGCCCTAAATATATTGCTCCTGTCTAGACGTTTTATCTGAAACAAGTGTCCTTTGTAGTCTCAGAGGACTTTTCTATTTTATTTCCAGTAAATCAAAGTCTGTGAAGAGCTTCAGTTCTTATTAAGACATACCCTTCACAGTCCAGTGATTGCCAACTGTGGCAAGCCATTGACAGTTCATTTACATATAAGTGATGACTTCCATCAGGTAGTTGGCTCAAAAACACAATGGACATTTAGAGCATATCCAATATTTCTTGTTCTTTGATGAGCACCAAGTGCCAATTTTTATATAGAAACTGACTATTGAAAAGTGAAGGCTTCTCTTCCCTGACCTTACACTGTCTTCTACAGCTCTAGAGTGAAATATTGTCACTGAACTTAATGTAGGATCACACTTCTAAAAGACATTCAATAGCCCTACTTCAGTATGCTAAAAATTAAGAATAGTCAAATGTAGGAAAGAATCACATTTTATTAGAGGAAAAATGAACTCTTTCTACATCCTGCCCCAAATTGTCATATGTATAACTTAATTTTCATATTTTTATAAAGTAATTTTGACATTGTTTATATATTATTTTTCTCTTGTAAATACATTTACCATTTGAAACAGTGATTATACAACATTCATTAAGAAATCTTACATTTAAGTTTGTAAGTGACTTTCATTATACATCCACGCTTTTGTTCCCAATTTTTTTTGGAATAGCAATGGTGGAAATCTAGCCAAAGTTTTACCCTAATAATGCTATAAAAAAGAGCAGGTTGATGATGTGTGACCATGCTGAGATTTAATTCCTGTGAGTTTTTCTTTTAAATTGTGCATTTTCCAGCTTTTTTCAGTATACAAATAAAGAAAAAATACTTCTTCTTTAAAATGAAACTCTCAATTGCCAATAAGGAGGATATGGGTAATTTAATTTCACAGATAAGCCAAACTCTACATTTTAGCTAGTAATCACTTTTTTATCTATCACATATTTTGTAGCTAAAATTTTCTGGTTAGAGAGCTCCATTATGTTTTTTAGTCCATCTTAGTTCTAGTTTGATGAGGCCCTGACTTAACATGATTTTTGTAGTTGGCTTTTCTAGATATTCCATTTTAATAACTTCTATACGTATTATTCTTACAGTAAACTACAATGCATGAAAGTATCCTGAGAGTTGTTTATTTTAAAACTGATGAGTCTATGACAGAAGTAACCTAGGGAAAGAATGATGACAATGGGACATTTGTCATGTAGTTCTCACCTCTATTCATACCTGGCCTCTATGTCATTCTGTTCCTCCGAGCATTCATTGCACCTTACTTGTTTCTCTAATTTCATTCATAAATAAAGGGATGGACAGATGGATAAAAGTAACTTCAAGATTCTTCAGAAACTGATTTTAGCAATTGTGCTTTAAATCCTTTCAGTACTAAGGCAAGTAAATTCAAGAATACCATATATTGACTTAAGTTTTTCAAGCTAGAGTGAGCAATGAGTATGGAATAATAATACTATCACCACACTAAAAATTAATATAGCTTAAAAAAATTATTTCCAAAAAAATTTAAGTGATGAAGGATATTCTGGCAAACAAAGAAATTCTTTGACGTATATGATTTCAGCAAATCACATTTTTATTTTTTTTAAGAATCAAAATGATGAATTCAATAACATTTCATACCAGAATCATGAGTTTTAGAAATAAGAATTATAAAGTTTCTTTATGGCATTTATTGCTAGGGGAAGAAAACAAATTTCAGTCCAATGAAAGGAATACTTGACATTATGTAGGTTCACTTCAGTATGATAAAACGAATGTTTTTATGAAGAAGATCAAATGAATGGTATTCATCTAAAGATATTTAGAAATTATAGACCAACCTGTCAAAGTCCTTCTTCGTACACACGAAGATATTTTTCCTTTGTTTCTGCTGATACAGAATTAACCCATGGCCAATGTTAACCTATTTTTTTGGGTAGACAGGATCAATTACTAAAGGTAACAACAATTGTGTTGAAAACATTGATCAATTTTTTATTGCGTTATACTGTTGTCTCATTTTCCTTTCTCTCATGGATCTGGCCACCAACTTCCCAACAACCCGGATGTTAGCTCTTTTGAGTAATGGATGTCCATTCACTATAAAACAAAACATACAATTACATTAATAAATTTTCAATTAATATGATAAAAATGTGTCATGCTTTTGAAATCCTAGAATATTATAGGAAATTAATTATGGCTGTGCTAGAACAGGCTAAAGGTTTTACTTGGGCACATTTTCTTCAGATGTATTGTGTTACCTTATTTGAGGGCTGTCCAGAAAGTATCCTGCCATGTAATATAAAAAATTATGAAAATTAGGACTGGATACTTTCTGGACAGTCCTCATATGCCATGCTAACAAACTCAAAAACAGTTACTGTTTGACTAAAGAGTTGAGGGGAGGGATGACAGAAATTCGGTTCCACTAATGTACAGAACATAGTCAGCCCTTCATATCTGTGGGCTCCCCATTGGAGGATTTCATCAACCATGGATCAAAATTATTCAGAAAAAAAAATTCCACAAAGTTCCACAAAGTAAAACTTAAATTTGTTGTGTGCCAAGTACTACACTCAATACATGTGACTGAAGGAATGTGTAGGCTCGATATTAGGTATTATAAGTAATCTAGAGATGATTTAAAGTATATAGAATGACATGTGCACGTTATATGCAAATATTATACCATTTTATATAAGAGACTTAAGCATCTATGGATTTCAGTATCTGAGGGAGGTCGTGGAACTAAACCCCCATGGATAGTGAGGGATGGATGACTGTTCTTGAATTCAATTAGATGCAACACATGCTTGTTCAAAAGAACAACAGTATTGTAATTTTATATTACAATATGATTAATTCTGATTTTGATATTTGAATCAACATAAGCTGCTATTTGGATAAATTGGTTGTACTTGATCTATCTTTATGTATAAAATGACTTTCCATAAGAAATAAAAGCCATAGATTGGCCACCATTATACACAGCAATAATTTACAGATAGGGTGATATATCTTTGCTGTTTAGGTCATATAGTTGTTATTAAACAAAAACATAACCAATTAGCAAAAAAAAAAAAAGTTAAAGTAATAAGAACAATCGCTAGAAGGAAACAAATGATTTGAGGCATCATAAGAAACAGGGTATTGTTGCTGAGTTCACATACAGATATATATATCTGTATTGTCATTAGAGACAAAGAGCAAGGCCAACAAAATTATATTAGGCCACATAAACAGAGGATTTGGATACATATTTCTACAAAGAAAACATCAAAATGGAAAACGGGTATATGAAAATGTACTCAGCATCATTAATAAGCAGGAGAATGCAAATCAAAGCCACTGTGAAATATCACCTCGTATGCATCGGGAAAGCTATTATCAAGAAGTCTAGATTAACAAATGTTAGAAGGGTGTGGAGAAAAGGAAACTCTTCTATGCTGTTGGTGGGCATGTACTTTGGTGCAGCCATAATGATAAACAGTTTGGAGGATCCTAAAGAAATTAAAAATAGAACTACCGTAAGATCTATAATTCCTTTTCTGGGTATATACTGACAGGAAATGAAACAACATCATAAAGATATCTGCACTTCCATGTTTATTGCAGCATGATTCACAGTATCAAAGATAAGCAAACAGTGTAAGTATCCATTGATGGATGAATGGATTAAGAAATGTGGTAAATATATACAATGGAATAGTATTCAGCCTTTAAAAAAGGGAAATCCTGCCATTTGTCAGAACATGTATGGACCTGGAGGACATTATGCTAAGTGGAATAAGCCAGACACAGGAAGAAAAATATTGCATGATTTAACTTACATGTGGAATCTAGGGAAGAAAAGGAAAAGAGTCAAATATACTGACATAGAGAATAAAACAGTGGTTACCAGGAGTGGGGGAGGAGAGAAAATGGGGGAAGCAGCTCAGAGGTTACAAAGTAGTAGTTATGCAGAATGAATAGGTCTAGAGATCTAATATACAGCATGAAGACTACAGGTGATGAAATTGAACTGTATTTGGGATTCCTTCTGAAGATTTTAGCTATTCTTTAACACAAAAGCAAAATAAATGGAAACTATGTGGGATGATGGATATGTTAGTTTGCTTCACTGTAGTAACCATTTTTCTATCTACATGTATTCCATGACACCATATTGAGTATATACCTTAAATATATGCAATAAAATTAATTTTTTAAAATTAGTAAATTAGGCCACACTAAGAGTATTTATAAAGTAATTAGTATTAGTAGTTTTCATTGCTAGTTTGACCCTTGGGAAAGGCAACCACCAATTGGTATTTCAACCTACTACAGTTATATGAAATAAGCATGAGATAAGCATGTTAGTTCTTGACATGAGATTTTAGGATAAAATACTTTCCTATTGTAAATGTTTTCAATAATATGAAATACCAACAATACATTTCATCAGGCAGAAGATACTTAATATATAAGATTACTCAAGGCAGTTAAAATAGAAAGAAAAGTGAAAATAATGGTCCAAGCTCTTGTTCTTATACATGTGTCAGTGAATGCAGATTTAGCACTCAATCTCAGTTTCCTTATTTTTGAAATGGGGATAATATCTCTCTTGTTCAGTTGTTGAAGGGACCCAAAAATGTATGTCAAAAGATATATGTATATATACTTCATTAACTCCTCAATTGTAATGAACGTACTAACACTAATGCAAGGTGCTAATAATAGAATAACCTACTAATGGGGGTGTGGTGCAGGTGTGGGAGTATATGGGAACACTCTGTACTTTCCATCCAATATTTATGTAAACCAGTATTTCTGTGCAACCAAAATAATAATACTAAAGCTCATTAATTAAAAAAAAGATATGCATCTGATACTTCAAAAGGATTCAAAATATAGTTGCTGGATTATTATCATCTACATTATGACATTATGAAATAGGCTTTTCAAAGAAATTTCACTAACAATTATATAATCTGTTATTTTGTAAACATTTTGATTAAAGGATCATTTCATTTTAGGGTGGATAAAAATATAAGTATACATGATATATCTTTAGCCTTTCAAAGTAAATATTCTTGACATTCATTTCTGCCGCTATGGCAGAATAGATTCAGAGAACAATCCTTTTGATTAAAATGAGTCAAATCCTGAATAAAATATTAAATGTATTTTAACTTCATTGCGAAGCTGGCAGGGAGGAAAGAAAATATAGAGGCCAAAAACACAGTGAAAGCAGTAACCTTAGTAGATATTAGAAATGCCAAAGCCAGTTTTCATGGTCTGAAGCTTTCTGTTAAGCCCTGGATATCTGAACTTCAGCCTTGTGACGAGAGTGGGGACAGGGATAAAACATAGAATCTGCCCAAAAAGGAGAGTCTAGCATGAGAACACAATGGGGGACTGGGACCTGAGAGTGGGTGGAAATGAGAGAGAGAGAGGAGAAGAGGAGATGGAGAGAGAGGAAGAGGGAAAGGGAAAGAGGGAGGAAGACAGGGGGGCAGGGAAGGAAGAGAGGGAGGGACTGGGAAGAGAAAGGGAGGGGAGGGGAGTAGAAAGGGAAGGGAAGAGGAGGAGAAGGAAGGAAGGAAGGAAGGAAGGAAGGAAGGAAGGAAGGAAGGAAGGAAGGAAGGAAGGAAGGAAAAAAGAAAAACCTAAAACTTCAAGGAGGGAGACAGCAAGAAAACTTTGCTGTTTCTGTGTAGCTGGGTAGATAGATCATAATCCCAAAGCTAGCCCTTGGTTTGGTATTTTGGTTTATGTCACTTGTGTGATCCAAAAATATCTCAAATAAATGTAAAGTTTGTTGGGCCCACAAAACAAATAAAAAACCTCCCTAGAGGAAAGAAACTTTAACCAAGGCCTTTAAAATATACCATAAAAGCATATTTTATTAAACCCTAGTGTGTTACAATGTATTTTAAATACAAAATCAGGGTTTTAAAAAAGTTATACACATAGAAAAACATGTAAAGTATTAATAGTAGGTGTAATTATAATTTAGCTTTAGTTTTTTTGCTTATCCATATTTTCAACAGAAAATATTATTTATGTAAAAATAATAATAATAGAGATCAAGTTTCTAGTTCAAAATATATGGTAGGAAGTTATTTTTATTATAGATAAGAAATAAGAAATTGAATATTTTTGTTTATATTTCAATCAATTAAAGAAATGGTTTTGCACTGTGAAAATATTCAAATAAAATAAATATTATGCTTAATATGCATTTTATACGCTGGATTTTCAGAAATGGGATATTATTTTTTTGTCAAATGTTCAAAGTATGCTTTTGCCCCCATGTTTTATTTTAAACTATCTGCAAATTTTCATATTCACAAGTCCAATTTTGTTATTGTTCATGCAAATTCTCTGACCTACTCAAAGTTATATATTATTCTACACTACTGACTACTTCCTGTGAACACTTCAAAATGAATCCTATTTGTTTAGATTCATGCTAAGAGCTTTGGGGTGATGTAAAGGGCACTAGCTGAGACCTTTCTGGGTCTCCATTTCCTATTCAAGACAAACAAACAAAAAGGAAAAAAAACTGTAATTATGTTATTCACGGTGATCTAGTTAATAAAAAGTGAAAGCCCTACTTAACACAGGTTCTGCCCACCAGAAGATTATCAACATAAAGCAAAATACAGTTCTAGATGACAAAAAAATTAAGGATATGTTTTTAGTATACTCAGCTCTCTGTACTTGTGATTTAACCAACTGTAGATCTAAAATATTTGGAGAAAACAATAAAAAATAACAATATAACAATAAAAAATACAAATAAACACAATATAGTATAACAAATATTTACATAGTGTTTACATTATATTAGGTATTATAAATAATCTAGAGATGATTTAAATGGATGATACAAGGATATGTGAGTAGGTTATATGCAAATACTACACCATTTTATATAAGGAACTTGAGAATTGTAGATTTTGGTATCCACCGGGGTCCTAGAACCAATCCCCTATGGATACCAAGGGACAATTGTGGTTACATTTGATGCTAATATATAGCAGAAGTCTAAGCTTGAACCTAAATGTTGTGCACTATAGGATTTCAGAAAGAGGGTATGTCCAGAACATTGG